CGGGATCCCTTGCCTGTCGGGGAACGCTCCCCTTACTATGGGATCTTCCCGCCCAGCAGGGACACCCCCTCCCCTCCAGGACCTCCCTTCATGTTGGGACTTTCCTGCCCAACAGGGACCCTCATACACTGTGAGGTACCCTCTCTCCCATCCCTTCCTGGCAGGGACCCCCTTTCTGTTATCCTGAGATGCCACTGTCTGACAGGGCTCCCCTAAATCCAGCAAGTACCCTGCCTGCAGGGAACCCAGCCTGTCTGGAACATCTGTTGCTCATCTGGACTGCCCACTGGGCTCTCCCTCTACCCTCAGGGACCCACCCCCTCAGCCCCTACCCACCCGGCACAGGGAGACACTCGGACCTGGCCCCCCTCGCCAATGCCCATATAGTCTCCTAAACTCAGTCTGACAAGGCCATTGCCCTTTCATAAGGAGGGACCTGGGCACATCTGCCACCTTCCTGCAGGAAGCCCCAGTTGCCCAGAACCCCTGCCCGCTGGCCACTATAATGTCCTTGGTGTGATAGAGAGAGCTCCTCATTCTAGGTTAGGGGAGGGGAGGCAGGCTGAGTCCACCCCTAGATTCATCAGGTATTAACAAAATGCGTATCTCAGCCAGGCATGGTGGTTCCCACCTGTAATCCTAACATTTTGGGAGGCCGAGGCAGGCAGATTGCATGAGGCCAGGAGTTCAAGACCAGACTGACCAACATGGCGAAACCCCTTCTCTACTAAAAATACAAAAAATAGCCAAGTGTGGCGGTGTATGCTTGTAATCCCAGCTACTCAGGAGGCTGAGGCGCAAGAATCACTTGAACCCAGGAGGCAGAGGTTGCAGTAAGCCGAGCTCGCACCACTGCACTACAGCCTGGGCAACAGAGGGAGACTCGGTCTCCAAAAAAAAAAACACCTCTCTCAGTGGCAGGGTACTGAAAGGCAGTGCCTGCCAGGGGGTACCCCAGACTAACCGGGCCCAGGCACCTGACTCAGATCACACACTTCACACAGCCAGCACTACCTTGGGGCCTCTGGCACCACCCTGGAGACTAATCACCCAACTCCCTTATTCTCAGTTCCCCGGCTCCTCCCAGTTGTCCCCAAGGCAGCCAGAGGTGATTATAAACTGACATCTCAGTCACTCCCCAGCTTAGAATACCATGGCTTCCCCACCACTCACAGTCAAATCCCAAGTTCCAGCCCATGCAGAAACCTCCCTCACTACCACTGTGGCCTTCCAGCCAAATTTCTGCTTTTACTGACAATGCCCAGCAGGCTTCTGCTTTCCATTCCTTTGTCCTCCATCTCAGCCCCCAGGGAGCATCCTCACATTCCTCAGTACCATCCTCCCACTCTTTACCTCTCCTGCAGCACTGCAGAGCCGCCTCCCTGACACGGCCAAGGTCCGAGGGAACCTCCGCACAGCTTTTCGGGGTCTTCTGCAGCTGTGGGGTCCCCACACTGTACCCATGTTTTCCTACTCCTGCCCCAGTCTCAGGAGTTCCTTCATCGCACCACCTCTCTGAGGGCTTTCTACCCCTGGGCCTGTAAACCCACCCTCCCTTGCTGACTGCCATGGCGGGACTGCTGGAAACCAGAGACACAGGAGGCTCCCTGGAGCCTAGTTTCCCAACCTGCCCAGGAGCCCCTGCCAAGACTCCATGCCCATCACATGCATCCTAGGCTGCTAGTTTCCACCACCACCCTTCCAAAGGCCAGGACAGGCTCCTGCTTCCCAACCCAGCCTCAGGACCCCCCTCCACAGAAGCCAGTGCCTGCTGCTCCACAGAGTGGGACTTTCTCCTCCCCCACATACCTTGCACTTGGGGGAAGGCTCAATTTCCAGGCCCCCTGCTACCCAAAAGTAACAGAACAGTTCCAGTGCCCTGTAACTAGTGCTGAATTCCCCCTTAGGTTTAACTCTCCAATGAGAGATTCTCCCTCTCCTCTCCCGCCCTGGCTCACCCGAGTGGATGAACATGTGCTTGGTGTAGTTTTTCCGGGAGCTGAACGTCTTGCGACAGTGGCTGCACTCATAGGTAGGTGGCTCAGCACCTGCTGTGCGAGCAGGGGTGCCTGAGGGGGCCGTGGTGGGAGCAGCAGAGGGAGCCGGGGCCTCCCCCAGCTGAGTACTGGGGGCTGCCTCGGGCTGGAGTGTGGGGTAGAAGGCGGGTGGGGGCGCAGGGGCTGGCCCTGATGGTGCTGAAGGGGGTGGTGCGGGTGGCCCGGGGGCACCCAAGTGAAAGGGGAAGAGTGCGACGGGTGGCCCTGGGGTCTTCACACCAGGCGGGCGGGGTCCAGCCAGTATGCAGTCCGGCTGGACAGGGGTCTCAGTGGGACAGCCTTCGGGGACAGCGCCATCCTCGTCGTGCCAAGTGGATACATAGCTGTCTGGAAATACGTCCTCAGCTGCCCCAGCTCCCCGAAGAAAATCCCTCCCGGCACCACTGTAGTCAGTGAGGCCAGTGGGTGCAGGGGGCTCCTCGCAGGCGCTGTCAGCAGCAGCAGTGAGGAAGCCGGCAGCACAGTCTGGGAAGGAAGGAGGTGCCTGGCCCTCGCCCGGGCCGCCACCTTCGCCGTCCTCGCCATCGGTCTCATCGTCAGTTTCCTCGTCATCCTCATCGCCACGGTCGTCAGGGGCCGCGGACAGTGAGGGGTCAGCATCAGGCCCCTCGGCCTTGGCAGGTGTTGGGGGCGCAGGCAGCTGCAAACGCGCGGGCTGGCGCTGCTTACGGCTGTGCGCAGCACCAGGGTGCCCCGGAGGGCGCGCAGCCAGCAGGTGGCGCAGACGGTGACGCAGCTGCGCAGGTGCGAGTGGCGGGGGCACAGGGGTGGGCAGGGGCGTGGGCGCAGAGGTGCCTGGGGCTCGGGCGCGGGCGATAATCTGCGTGCATTCGTCGATAACTGTCTGTATGCGAAGTACCGACGCGGCTGTGAGCACCTGCAGGGCTTCGCCCTGCGCCACAACAAGCGAACCGCTGTACAGGAACTCGACCAGCTGTCGCACCGTCTGTGCGGGCACCACCGGAGGCACACGGATCTCAGAGTGGCCGAGCAGCAGCTTGTCTTGGAAGAAGGGCGAGCCGGCCGCCAACACGCAGCGGTGGGCACGCAGTGAAGCTTCACGAATGCGCACAGTCACGTCGCAGAAGTGCCCCCCTAGCCTCTGCCCATTGAGGGTCTCAAGCAGAGAGCGTGAGAAGTTCTGCAGGTGTATGTGGTGCACAGCCTCTGCAGCTGCCATCTGCACAGAACAAGAGGAGGGCCGGAAGAGGTCAACTGAGGACCCCCCTCTGTCCCAACCTCCCTATCTTTTCACCCGTTGCTGCAGGATGGGGCTCAAGAGTATACCACACTCCAAGGCGCACTAACCCATCCCTCCTCAGCTGCCCTTCACAGTCCCCATTCCCAACACAGGACACTCCAGCACTCCCTCCTCCTCCCATCTCAGTCCCAGCCAGGCCCTCTACAGCCCCCCACTAATGCGGCAAACCTTAGCACACCCCTAGGAGAGGGTGTTGGGGATGTGAAAGGTCTGCCCCTCTCCGGGTCTTGCTTACAGCCCCCGAAAAGGTTCAGGGCTTGGCCTACTCTACATTGACTCACCCACCCACCCCACCCCATCCCAACTCCAGTAACCCTAGGCCTCCTCATGTGCCCCTCCAAGAGGGCAGCCCTGTGTGTAGAAGAGGCCAAGGACCCCCATCCCAACTGGCTAACCTGCCTCACCCAGAGCAGACCTTGCTCACTACCCAGCTAGTTTCTCCTCCACCCCTGCTGGCAGCTCCTTTTGGTTTCCTTTAGCCACATCCCCCCAGTATGAGACCCTGTGCAGAGGCAGGATTGCTGCCTCAGAACCAGGTCACCTTAACTAGTATATACAGAGGCTTTCGCAGGAGTGGGATGGCATGACCTGCCTCCTGGGCAGCATGGTTCTCGGTGTGCCTGGTCACTAAGGGCTGAGGGTAAAAGGTTGGGCATTACCTTGGGAGATGCCCCAGGGAAACCAGTACATGGTCCCTGGCAGCCCCTAGCATAGCAGGCAGGGAAGTGCCTCCTGCAGCCCCAGCTTCTTGCCATCTCGATGGGGCCTATGGGGCCCAGGGTGTGGGTGTGGCACAGAGAGGGGAAGTGTGGAGTGAGCAGGGGTGTGTGACTCGATAGGTGCCCACTGAGCAAGCCGGACAAGGCCCAACATCAGGTACCAGAAAGGGGAGAGAGTAGTCCCCAGAGGACTCTGGAATGTGAGGAGTTCTGCTACTCCGTCCATCAAGCAGGTAAACCGTGATCCTTCGGCCTGTTTCCCCTTCTGTCAAACAAGGGATGAGATACTCAGCCCATACTGCACACACCTCCAGTCTAAGGGAGGAGGGTAGGAGCTCTGGCCTCTGACATCCGTATAGCCTCCACCAGCCTGTCTCTCAGAGTGGGCTCGGCTTGATGCTGCCCCTACACCCTCGGGCTCTACTGGGGTCTCAAGATTCAACCCCTCCAACTCCTTATGCCCAATCCGCCGTCCCTTTGCTCAGCCAGACGCCTCCCTTTCTTGCATGCCCAACATTTGACCCTCAGACCACTTCGAGCACCTCCACTGCCCCGTTCCCGCTGTCCTGAACGGATGAAGAAACCTGGCTGGTCTCCCCACGCCCCTGGCCTCCCCTTCTGTTCCCCACATGGCAGCCAGAGGGAGCCTTTCCAGACTACAGATCCAGATACACCACCCCGCCCCCCGGCCCCACTCTGAGCCTCAAAAAAGCCAGGCCTGTGCCCGTGCAAAGGCTAACTCAGCATGCAGCACCCGCCCCATCTGTATTCACCTAGCACCTAAAAGGCTTCTAATCTGCGTCCGGCCGATAGGGACGCATCAACCCCAGAGACTTGAACCTTCCTTTCCCGCCCTGCCCCGCCCCGCCCCGCCCCGCGGCGGGCTCCATTCCTCAGTCCCGACGCCGCAAAGCCGGCCTGGACACTTCAGAACAAAGGCCAGCCTTCGAGACCCGGCGCCCAGGCCAGCTTCCTGGGTCCGGCGCCGCACAC